ATATGGACATGCCACAACATTTTACTTATCCATGGGTCAGTTGTTTCACTTTTTGGGTATTATGAATAATGCTGCCATGAAAACTCTTGTACAAGTTTTTGTGTGGATGCATATCTTTTTTTTAAACTTTTTATTGACACATATTTTCAATTATCTTGGATGGGGCGGAGGAGTTAAGATGGTGGAGGTAGAAGACCCTAAGATTGTCTCACCCTTCAAACACAGCTAGAGAGTTATCAAATCATTCTGCGGTCAGAGAGAAAAAATCAATTGGAGGTCAGAGAGAAAAGTCCTGTAGGCCTATAAGAAGAAAAGTGACCACACTTTTGGAAGGTAGGAGGTGTGGAGACTTGAATCGGGGTAAATACAGCTGTGGATATGATGGCAGGGAGGGAGCCTGCTTACAGAGGCTACCACAAAGTATTATAAGAAGCAGAGCATAAAATCTGAGCTTTAGACGTCTGCTACCATAGGTGACGTGCCTGGCTTCGAGGTGGTTAGGTGGTGAAGTGGGGCAGAATCCCAAGAGTGAGAGGGTGGTCTGAGGATCCTCTGGGTCACACAAGAACAGGTGTCACCTAAGTGCTGCACTGTTCCCAGGCAGAGGAGTGTAGTATCCAGCTGAGAACAACAACTGCTGGTGCCAGCTTTCTGCTCTATATTGCCATAAACTATGAACTGCCCTGCAATTGTGTCACTGCTTTCCTGGACAGATGGCCAGCAGGAAAGGCAAAACAAGACCTTTTCCCAGAAGAACAGTGTGGGTCTGCGCTCTGGGAGTCCCTAAAATTTGGCATTTTGAAATTCAGTTGCATACCCGAAATAAAAGAGCTCAGACACAGGCAGGGTGAAGACAGGGTTCTGACAGAAACTGGGGAAACAAGAGGAGTGATTGGCTGCTCTTCTGTGAAAGCTCACTGAAGAATGAGGGCACGAACTTTTCAGCCCCCAGGCTAGGAAGCAGAGATTTATCCCACCCATCAGCGCCAAAAAACCTTCAGGGAGCAAAACATTGCCACCTAGTGGAGACTGGAGACGCTTACACCAAACCCTGACCGCCTGCATCCTGGGGACACATTTCCACCAGGGCCAGCTAGAGAATCAGCACAACGTTCCCCTCCCCCAGAAGACCAGCACTAAAAACTCACTCATACCAAGTTTATTGATCCTAGAGGGCTGCAAAGTTTCAGCTCTAGGGGAAAATAGTATCTAGCCTCCTTTGTACTTTTATTTGTATTATTATTTTCTCAATTCCTTTTATTTTTTATTATTTTTATAATTTACATATATATTTTTTATATTTTTCCTTTATGTTCAATTTACTTCATTTTATTTTTTTTTATTTTTGGATCTAGATTTTTTTTTTTAAGATTTTATTCATTCAGGGGCGCCTGGGTGGCTCAGTGGGTTAAGCCGCTGCCTTCGGCTCCAGTCATGATCTCAGGGTCGTGGGATCGAGTCCCACATCGGGCTCTCTGCTCAGCAGGAAGCCTGCTTCCCTCTCTCTCTCTGCCTGACTCTCTGTCTACTTGTGATCTCTGTCTGTCAAATAAATAAATAAAATCTTTTAAAAAAAAAGATTTTATTCATTCATTTGAGAGAGAACACAAGCAGTGGAGCTGCAAAGGGAGAGGGAGAAGCTGGCTCCCCACTGAGTAGGGAGCCCTATGCAGGACTCTGACCCAAAGACAGTGGGATCACAACCTGAGTTGAAAGCAGACGTTTAACCAACTGAGCCACCCAGGCATCTGAATCTTGACTCTTAAAAAACAGACCAAAATACACTCAGGATCCAGTTGTTTTTGCTTGTTTTGTTTTGTTTTTTCCTTTGTTTTTGTTGTTTTGGGATTTTTATTTTTCTTCTTTTCTTTTCTGGACAAAATGATGAAATGGAGAAATTCACCCCAAAAGAAAGAACAGGAAATAGAACTCATAGCCAGGCACTTAACCAATACAGGCATAAGTAAGATGTATGAACCTGAATTTAAAACATTTATAAGGATAACATTTTGAGAAACTGACAAACTATTTTCCTCATTGGCTTACAACAAAGCACATTTTCATGTTCTTATTGATTATCTGCATATCTTCATTAGAAAACTGTATACTTATTTCACCCATCCCCCTCCTAAAACCCTCTGTTTTTTTCCCAGAGTCCATAATCTCTCATGGTTTGTCTTTCACTTCGATTTCTCCCCTTTCATTTTCCCCTTCTCCTACCTCCATGCTATTCCTATGTTCCACAAATAAATGAAACCATATGATAATTGACTTTCTCTATTTGATTTATTTCACTTAGCATAATCTCCTCCAGTCCCATCTATGTTGATGCAAAAGTTGGGTATTTATCCCTTCTGATGGCTGAGTAATACTCCATTGTATATATGAACCACATCGTCTTTATCCGTTCATTGATTGAAGAGCATCTTGGCTCTTTCCACAGTTTGGCAACTGTGGCCATTGCCACAATGAACATTGGGGTACACATGGCCCTTCTTTACACTACATCTGTATCTTTGGGGTAAATACCCAGTAAGTGCAATCGCAGGGTCATAAGGTAACTCTATTTTTAATTTTCTGAGGAACCTCCACACTGTTTTCCAAAGTGGCTACACCAATTTGCATTCCCACCAACAGTGTAAGAGGTTCGCCTTTCCCCACAACTTCTCCAACATTAGTCGTTTCTTGCCTTGTTCATTTTTGCCATTCTAACTGGTATAAAGTGGTATCTCAATGTGGTTTTGATTTGAATTTCCCTCATGGCTAATGATGATGAAGACTTTTCATGTGTCCGTTAGCCGTTTGTATGTCTTCTTTGGAGAAGTGTCTGGTCATGTTTTCTGCCCATTTTTTGACTTTGTTTAAAAAACCTTGGGTATAGTTTTAACAATGTGAACATAAAATTAAACCTATCAAAATATCAAAATATCTACTTTACTAAGAGTGTTTTGTTGCTTAAAAAATAAGCATCTTAATGTAATATTAATGTTTGGATGATCCCATTGAACTGGGTGGCATAAGTTTGGAGTTTAACATGTATTTTTAAAGAATAGTAAAAGTTTGGGGGCATTTTTCTTTTACTCAGATGTTTTTCATGTGTGCTTCTATGAAATTTTTGTGGTGAAATAAAAAGATTTCAACCCCCCCCCAAAAAAGAAAACTCTATACTTTAATTTTTTGACAACTTTTAAATTGGGCCTTTTATTGTTGATTTATAAAAGTTTTTTGTATGTTCTGAATATAAGTCCTTTATCAGATATATGATTTGCAAATATTTTGTCCTTATGGGTTGTATTTTCACTTTCTTGATGGTACCCTTTGAAACATAAAAAATTTCCATTTGGAGTAAGTACAGTCTATTTTCTATCTTGTCTCTTATGCTTTTGGTATTATAAGAAAACATTATATAATCAAATAATGCCTAGAGAGATATATAAATTAATTAATTTTTCTGAGTTTTATAGTACTAATATTGCTTTCAGGTGCAATCCATTTTGAGTTAATCTTTTTATAATGTGAGATTGTGTATATGAACTTCATTCCTTTCCATGTAAATATCCAGTTGTCCCAGCACAATTTACTGAAAATAACTTAAATATTACATCATTAAATACTAGATTACTAGATTACTAGAATTACTAGATTACTAGATTATTAAGGATTACTAGAGTCCCACTAGAATAGACAAGTTAGTAAGCATTGTGTTGAAGCCACAAAATAAGATCACAGTAGTCCCAAACTACCATTTTTGAGGATCTGTTTTCCAGAACCATTTCTGGCACCAACTTCTGTATCAGAAAGGTCCAGTCGACAGATATAAAGTATTGTAACATAGCGAACTTAATGTAAAAAAAAGAGATCACTAAAGTAATAAACAATGTCAAACAAAACAAAAAGGAAAAAAAGCTCAAAATCGAATAACCCAAATGCCACCGTTAGTTCTGGGACAACGAAGGGGGAAAGTTGGAATTATTAAAAACCTAAAAGCTTAGAGATCAGGCCCTATGAAGCTGAAAATCAGATTCTCAGGGAAGGACACCAGCCATCTGATGCTGTGCTGATGTCACTAAGGGAGAGCATTGATGCTATTTATGCCAGTATGTTAGAAAAACATCAGTTTTACTAATATGGTGGAACTCCACATCCACATAGTGTTTTCTTCCACCCTCTGTAGTTTCTAGTAAACTATCCACTTCTTGTTTGTCCAATCCAATTAGCATGATGTCATTGATATATTGGGCTAGTGTGATGTTCTGCAGAATGTCTACCACTCAAGGTCTTACTGGACTATCACAGCAGGTGGTTGGATTAACATAGACTTATTGCCTATTACAAGTGAGTAGGAATTATTTCTGATTCTTTTTTTCTGATATCATGGGAAAGAGCACAATTGCCAATCAATGTCTACATATCATGTACTTAGACTATGTTAAACTGCTCTTGAAAAATACATCTGGCAGGGCACCTGGGTGGCTCAGTTGTTAAACGTCTGACTTCAGCTCAGGTCATGATCCCAGGGTCATGGGATCGAGCCCCTCACTGGGCCCTTGCTCAACAGGAAGCTGGCTTCTCCCCCCGACCCCCGCTTCTGTTCCCTCTCTCGCTGTCTCTCTCTCTCTCTCTCTCTCTCTGTCAAATAAATAAATAAATAAAATCTTAAAAAAAAAAAATACATCTTACCCAGAAAATGAATTTAGAATTGGTCCTGAACATAGCCTCTGAAGCAGCCTGTGATTTGGCACCAGTTCTGCCCAGCCAGTCTGAGAGCAATTCTGCCTGCTCAGAGAACTGACAAGAGACATGCCCATCAGTATTCCCAGAGACCTGTTGGTTTATCTCAGTAAAACTGCAGAGGCTGAATTAGCCTAGTGATTTGGCTATAGCCCCTCTCAGCCATGGTTTGAGGTTAATCCTGTTTACCTAGGAACCCATCCACAGCCTTGGCAGGGGCCCTTACAGGGACCCTGTGAGAGCAACCCTGTTCCTGCATCTGGTAACAGGCCTGCCATCTGCAGACTCCACTACAGAATCTAAAGCAGACACTTGTCTCAGCACCAGCCCTTTAGACCATGGTTCTAAATTTCCCCCATCCAAGGATCAGCGAGGACCCACACTACCTGCCCAAAACCCTGCAAAGAGTCCTGACATCAGACTTCACTGCAGACCCAGCAGCAGCTACATGATCCAGCTCAAATCTACAACTACAATCCTATAAATCTGTAGAACTGCAGAACTAATAAATTAATTCATTAGAGTTGCAAAATACAAAATCAGTATACAAAAAGCCAGTTGTGTTTCTATACACTAACAATAAAATGTCCAAAAAAGAAATAAAGAAATTAACAATCCCACTTACAAAGCATCAAAAAGAATAAAATACATAGGAACAAATTTAACCAGGAGATAAAAGATCTCTACACTGAGAACTTTAAGACACTAATAAGATAAACTGAAAAGGGCACAATAAAATGGAAAGATATCCCACGTTCATGAACTGTAAGAATTATTGTTAAAATGTCCATATTAATCAAAACAATCTAGCTCCATGCAATCCCTATCAAAATTCCAATAGCACTTTACACATAAATAGAAAAAAATAATCCTAAAATTTATATGGACCCACAAAAGACTCCAAATAACCAAAACAATCTTGAGAATGAAAAATAAAACTAGAAATATCACCCATTCTGATTCCAAATTATATTACAAATTTATAGAAGCCAAACAGTATGGTACTGACATAAAAACAGACACACAGACCATTGGAATAGAATACAGAGCCCAAGTGATCCGAAGGGGCATGTGCACCCGAATGTTTATAGCAGCAATGTCTACAATAGCCAAACTATGGAAAGAACCTAGATGTCCATCAACAGACGAATGGATAAAGAAGATGTGGTATATATACACAATGGAATACTATGCAGCCATCAAAAGAAATGAAATCTTGCCATTTGCGACAACGTGGATGGAACTAGAGGGTATCATGCTTAGCGAACTAAGTCAATCGGAGAAAGACAACTATCATATGATATCCCTGATATGAGGGAGAGGAGATGCAACATGGGGGGTTAAGGGGGTAGGAGAAGAGTAAATGAAACAAGATGGGATTGGGAGGGAGACAAACCATAAGTGACTCTTAATCTCACAAAACAAACTGAGGGTTGATGGGGGGAGGGGGTTGGGAGAGGGGGGTGGGGTTATGGACATTGGGGAGGGTATGTGCTATGGTGAGTGCTGTGAAGTGTGTAAACCTGGTGATTCACAGACCTGTACCCCTGGAGATAAAAATATATGTTTATAAAAAATAAAATTAAAAACAAACAAACAAACAAAAAAAGAATACAGAGCCCAGAAATAAAACCATACATATATGATCAACTAAGAATACATAATGGGGAAAAGATAGTCTCTTCAATAAATAGTGTTAGAAAAACTATGTATTCACATGCAAAAGACTGAATGGATCCTTCTCCTACACCATACCCAAAAATCAGGTTGAAATAGATGACTGACTTAAACATAAGACTGAAACCATAAAACCCACAGAAGATAACATGGGGAAAGTTTCCTTAGTCTAGCAAAGATTTTTTGGGTTTGGGTTTAATGCAAAAAGCAGAGACAACAAAAGCAAAAATTAACAAGTGAACCTATATCGACCTAAAATTAACAAGTGGACCTTTATCAAACTAAAAGCTTTTGTACAGGAGTGCCTGGGTGGCTCAGTGATGAGCATCTGTCTTCGGCTCAGGTCATGATCCCAGAGTCCTGGGATTGAGTCCCACATCGGGCTCACTTCTCTGCCAGCCTGTTTCTCCCTCTCCCTCTGCCTGCTGCAGCTCCCTGTGCTGTGCTCTCTCTCTAAAAAATAAATCAAATCTTTTAAAAACATAAATAAAATAAAAGCTTTTGTACAGCAAAGAAACAATTAACAAGATAAAAGACAATCTACAGAATGGGAGAAAATATTTACAAACTGTATCTGATAAGGGGTTAATATCCAAAATATATAAGTAACTCAAACAACTAAAGCAAAGTATATATATAAATTTTAAAATGCACTAGGGATTTTTTGGGGGTTCCTGGGTGGCTCAGTGGGTTAAAGCCTCTGCCTTTGGCTCAGGTCATGATCCCAGGTTCCTGGGATCGAGCCCTGCATCTGGCTCTCTGCTCAACAGGGAGCCTGCTTCCCCCTCTCTCTCTGCCTACTTGTGATCTGTGTGTGTCAAATAAATAAATAAAATCTTTAAAAATAAAATAAAATAAAACAAAATGCACTAAGGATTTTTATAGATTTATTTCTAAAAGAGATAATGCAAATAACCAACAGGTACTTAAAAAGGTACTCAACATCATTAATCAGGGAAATGCAAATCAAAACCACAAAGGATACTTTGTACCCGTGAGAATGGCTAGCATCAAGGGACAAGAGCTAACAAGTGTTGGTGTGAATGTAAAAGAAAAGGGAGCCCTGGTTCATTGTTGGTGGCAATGCAAACTAAAACAGCCACTATAAAAAACAGTATGAAAAGCCCTCAAAAAATAAAAAATAGAACTATCATGCAATCTAGCAATTTTGCTTCTGGGTATAAATCTGAAGGAAACAAAATCACTGTGTTGAGATACCTGCACTCCCATGTTTAATGCAGCATTACGTACTATAGCCAAGATATGGAAACAACCTAAATGTCCATCTACAGATGAATGGATAAAGAAGATGTGGTCATATATACAATAGAATACTATTCAACCATCAGAAAGAAGGAAATCCTGCCATTTGTGACAACACAGGTGGACCTTGAGAGTATTAAGCTAAGTGAAATAAGTCAAATAAGGCAAATACTGTATCACTTGTATATAGAATCTCAAAAATCTGAACTCATAGAAACAAAACAGATTTGTGGTTGCCAGGGGCTGTGAGGTAGGGGAAATGGAAAGATACTTGTCTAAGGATACAAATTTCCTGTTATAAGATGAAAACGTTTTGGGGATCTAATGTACACCATGGTAATTACTGTCAACAACACTGTACTACAAAATTAAAGTTGGTAAGAGTAGATCTGCAATGTTTTCATCACAAGAGATAAAGAATAATTATATGAGGTGAGGCAGTTGTTAGCTAATGTTATGGTGGTAATCACTTCACAGTATGTGAGTGTATCAAATCAGTACATAATACACTTTAAACTTACATATTGTTGCTGTATATGTCAATTATAGCTCAATAAATATGGGGGGGGAATGTTTAAGGAGAAAAGACTACAAAGAAGTACAGATGCTATACAAAGAAGAAATGGGGATAGCAGGACACCAGAAAGAGGCAGATTCTCCCTAGTAAACACTACTCCAGCACACCAGCCACCTTGCTCTTCTCCTGATATACCACTGCACATATTCCTAGCATTAGCTGTTCCTTCTGCCTGAAATCTCTTTTGGTATCCTCTTGGTTTGTTCCATCACTTTTCCAAGCAACGGCTCAAATGTTGATATCTCTGTTGGGCTTTCCTTAAAATTCTATTTAAAATTATATTCCTGCTCCATTTTTGGTCCATTCAATTCACACACATCTCAAATGAAAAAAAATTATAGTGCACTTATTGATTTGATCTTCTGTTGCTTTCCATATCCCATCGAATTGTTCTAGGTAAACAAGAACTTATTCTATTTTGTTTGCCTGGATATGTTCCCAGTGCCTGGTAAGCACTTGATAAATATTTGTTAAATAACCCCATACCAGTCTTAGCACTTAAAATGTCATTTTTCTAATGGGTATGATAAAATTGTGACTGAAATGTCTCTAAACAACAAATTTAAGAATATTGATGGGGAAAGAATTTTCTCTTTCTTCAAAATAGAAACAAGGAATCCAATGGTGTGTTTTCATATTGTATCTATTACAACAAGCTCTATTACTATTTAATTATTCCCCAGGAACCTTTTGTGCCTGGTGAGAAAAAGTTTAAGAGAAGGTAGGAACATAGTTCTGCAATGTACTAATCCTCAGGGAACAGTACGGCTTGGAATTTCAGAGTGAATAAATAAAATTCAAAAACAATCTCATCTATTGAACAAATACTTTAAAAATGTCATGGGAGAGGGTTGCAAATCTCAAAAGACAATGAGGCAAAGAGATAAATACAGATAATACCTTCACCTAGGCTTAATCTTAACCATAAATATGAGTTTTGCTGCTAGGGGAAAAAAATATTTTAAAATTCACTCTGTATAATTTATGGCAGGTTACAAACTGGATTCTCCAATTCTTCAGAAGTCTCTCACATGTTTTACACTCTGTGGGGTAATATTTTATTCTCCCTCTCTGACCTTTCTTCTTGGCACATATCCAAGGAGCATGTTAAAACTTTGCATGCCCTATTACAAATGCTGATTTTCAGCATAAATGGATTTGCTGGCAAGTGCTTTCTTCTTGCTCTGAAAATGTAAATATCTGATTAGAATAAAATTCATACAGAAAAGTTTGAAAATATTAATTTTTCTCTTCTTTCCCCATGTCTGGGGAAATACATTTATCTAGCTTCCTATCCCTTTAAAATATAAATATTTACAAAAGAGGCCTGGGGATTTTGTGTAAAAATGTGTAACTAATAAATTACTAGAGGTGGATGAATGATGAATTTTATTGCTTGTTTAACAGAGAAAATGTAACAAATCTCTGATTCCAGTGATCTCTCTCTCTAATTCATATATTGCTCTCAGTTTTAGTAATTTAATATGCCTTGGTTTATGTGAAACAATTTCCTTTAATGATAAAACCATTCAGCATCTGTGTGCTGTTTCTTGCATTTGTAGGATTTGCTTTGGATTATGACTTAGTACAATTAGTATTCCTGAGAAATACTGTAATAGGAGACACAAACAGGGTGAGTATTGATACTGATTTCATATACCACTGTTAGTGCCCCATTGTCAGTCAAAATATTAATTAAAATGGCTTAGAGGGGTGCCTGGGTAGCTCAGTGGTTAAGCCTCTGTCTGCAGCTCAGGTCGTGATCTCAGGGTCCTGGGATCAAGTCCCACGTCAGGCTCTCTGCTCAGTGGAGAGCCTGCTTCCTCCTCTCTCTCTCTCTCTCTCTCTTTGCCTACTTGTGATCTCTGTCAAATAAATGGATAAAATCTTCAAAAAAAATCATTAAAAAAAAAATGGCTTAGAGTAGGATACCAATGTCAGGACACAGTCCAGAATAAAAAGAACAA